TGGAGTTTAATTTTGGAAGGACTATAACGCCATTTACTAACATTATTATAATGTCATTTACTAACATTCAATTCAAATATCAAATTAAATCTAACTAAAATCTACCAAAATGCAAGGGAGGCGCGTGCAGATTTAAATTGGACGATCTCTACCACTTTTTATCATAATAGGACTTTGGACTTCTTGTTATTTTTTAAAAGGTCAAAGTCAAATACAGGACTATAATAGGAGCTTTAAATGTAAAAAATACATACTCTGGTAGGTAAATAAAGCATGTTAGCTTATCTATTATAAAAAAATTCGTAAATATTTTGGATCTTGACTATGTTATGCAGTGCAGAGCAGTGGCAAAGGCTAAACGCTCGCCGAAAAATTTCACAGTGTTCGAGCAACCCGGGTTCGATTCCCGCACAAATGAAATTTTTTATTGCAATTTTAAGTGCTGATTGTACCACATACACGACGGTGAAGCAAAACATCGTGATGAAACGTGGATGTCTGAGGAATAAAAATATTTCGAAGATATGTAAAGTTCGTTAACAGTCACTGGAGAAACACGGTGGATTAATTGCTCAATAATACTCTTAGAAATGTGAGGAGACCGTAGGCTATACCTATATAACTTTTACTTTTTCATAAGATATCATTCATAAGTGCACAGCAAACCAAAGCAGACAATAGTGCTCCCAAGCGCTAATATTAACATTATCTTATCACCAGCAACCTCCTTTTTTAACCGCCGTGACAGAGCCACTCATACGACGACGTAGCACGAATAGTCGGCTCGTCCGGGATAGGACCACGTTCTCACAGAATACTAGAGTAAGATAGCAGCTAAATGCTGCTGTGTTTCGTACCTACGGTGAGTGTAGAGAACCGGAAAACCTTTTTACTGGAGATAAGGCATTTTATCTTGGTTCACAGGGGTGACAACGTCGATGTCTATACACCACAGCAGCCACTTACCATTAGGTGGATACTGTGGTAGTCACTGTGTGCTCGTTTTTTAACCTTATTCAATATAAAAAAAGGTTAGGTGATCCAGCCTTTTTTATATTGAATAAGACAGATCGAGACAGACTCCTACTAGGCAGAAAACTGCCTAGTAGGAGTCTGTCTGGGTAGGTACCACCCTTTTGCCTATTTAAATTAAAAGTAAAGAGAGCCAGTTTGATTACAGGCTGTGAGGCATTTAATCTTAGTCCTCAGAGGTGACAACACATCTGTAGCCTTCATTTGAAGTTGGTTGCAGGTGACCATTGGCTACTATAGCCACTTACCGGTTGGACTGTAATTCCGTTAGTTTGTGACTTTTTTATAGGATAGGGTGACAAGCGAGCACACAGTCCACCTGATGGTGAGTGGTTGCTGTGACCCATAGACATCCACATCTCTCCTCAATAACGAATCAAAATGCAGAAGCGTTGTCACCCGTAAGGACTGATGGAATACCTTTTTTTCAGTAAAAAGGGTCTCCGGCTCTCTACACTCACCATACGAAACACAGCAGTGTTTAGCCGCTATTTTGCGCTGGTATTCTGTGAGAGTGTGGTTCTTTCCCGGTGCAGCAAACCTATTCGTGCTAAGACTACGACTATACTACTAATATAGATGCAGCATGGCTCTACCACGTAAAATTTTATAAACTGTTTTCGTGTGTGCCCATAACTTCGGCGACTTTAAGCATGTATCACCAGACAATAGTAGGTATTACAAAATTACCAGAGGGTCCAATTTAGTGTCCTCATTCTTTTGTATGATATTGGGAAACGGCTGTAACCGAGCTAAAACCAGTAAGATTTAAAAATTGTTAGAGTGAAGCACAGTTTCGTGTGCAGTGTAAGAGTACACTACTCCATTTCTTTCAGTGGGTTTGGTAAGGGTCGACTATGAAAGCTCCAGTTAAATATCATGACCTGTGGTAGATGACGGTATAATCATCTTGTAGAGTAGCGTAAAGTTGCTGCAATTAATACAGTTATTTGCGGTATATGGTATCTCTCTCTCTCTCTACTTGAAATAGCCTGCAGAAGAATATGGACATTTCTTATGATCCATGTTGTTTTGTGGACTGTTTCAAGTTGATTACGAAGCGGAGTCTTTTTTTATATAGAATAAGGGTGACAAACGAGTACACAGTCCACCTGATGGTAAGTGGTTTCTGTGGCCCATAGACATCTACATCTATCTTCGTTTGCGAATTAAAATGCAGATGCGTTGTCAGCCGTTAGGACTAAGATGGAATGCCTCCTTTCCAGTAAAATGGGTTCTCTCTGTACACTCTGGTATTCTGTGAGAGCGTGGTCCTTCCCTGGTCGAGCCGACCCATTCGTGCTATAACTATACTATTAATATAGCATCAGTCTAGAAGTACCTCTGGGTTGGTAGCATCTTTTGACTATTCTTGCCACTAGGCAGCAGTTATTTACTTACTGCTGTGTTCCTGTTTAAAGTGTAAGAGTGCTTTTTACAGGCAGTGAGGCATTTCATCTCGGTCCGCGGGGTGACATCGCATATCTACGTAGCGTTCTTTGTTCGAAGTTGGTAACAGGTGTCAACAGTCGGTAGTAGCCGCTTGTAAGTTGTTAGTTAATCTAAATGTACATTATTAGGAAAAGGCCGCAGACTTTGTGTTGGATTTATAATTGGGTAGGATCCAAATGCATGTATTGGGTTGATTACAGGCGGCATATTTAAGCCCGATCCATGTTGTGAAATGAGAACAGAATGAGCTTGAGCGCTTCTACCATCGTGAGGAGATATTTTTCGTCGCAAATGTGGTGAATGCAATTTCGGATTGGGGTTAGCACTGTGCCTATTTCTTGATCTCCTTGAGCTGAACATCATACTGCAACCTTCAACAGTGCATTTATGCATTTCTCTTAAATGTACAGCTGAGAAATGAATTTTAAGCGCTCCTTTATCACAAAAGGTTTTGAGGCACACATTGCATTGTACTCTTTTCTTACCAGTAGCAGGATTAATAAAATGCGTACCTAAGTTTAAAAAAGTGCCTTTATTATAAACGACAACTGTTCGTGCAGTAAGGCTTAAATATTTTGCATCAGACTTTGCTTCATCATTTTTATCACAGCTACAAGCGGTTTTCGACCCGCCTGCCAAACGTGGCAAGCAAACAACGCCCCCCCACCCCCATTATGTAAGAATTAGCTTGTTTGCTTAATGCATCGGACTGAAAAGATCTAGGAAAAAGGTTTGGTATAGTGCAGGATTAAGTAGTATTGATGAGTCCCGTGGGTGTCGCAAAAGGCGTCAGAGGAAATCTCAAACAGGAGATAGGCAGCAGCATCTTTCTGTCAATAATTCGTAATTATAAGACTGCGGTTGCCAACCCGCTTGTCAAGCGTGGCAACTATGGCACAATTCCCTCTATGGGAGGCTCATGTTCAGCAGTGGACTTTTATAAACTGTAATGGGTAGATGAGTGGATGTAATTTGGAGTTGCGTTTTCATAATTTGTTCGTGATCATAATATTTTTTTTCACGAAAACGTTAGTGCGTAGGAGACAAGTCGCGGAAGATTTATTTTATTTTCTAAGAACACTATATTATTCAACTTGGTAAGCCTGTAATAGTCCAAGGCTGAATATAGACACCTCACATATATATGTTGCGTGTATGTATGTTGGATTTCGCTGGTCAGGGTGTTTAATACCTGGCATAAATGGGATAGTTTATCGGATAGCGCCATCAATTGCCAACAATGCGATATTTCTGGCATTTTCCTTAGTCATTTTTACGACATTCACGGGACTAAATAGGGTTATTGATTCTAAATGTTTTGAAAGAATATTAGTGTAAGAATATCCACTACCACATATCGTCTTGTAGGTGTCGCAAGAGGCGACAGAGGGAAACTGTAACAGGAGATGGGCAACAGCATCTTTCTGATAACAACTTAAAATAATAAAAAACTGGGGTTACCAATTCACTGCCAACCGTGGCAACTATGGCAAAATCCTTCCTCTGAGGCAATCTATGGGAGAGGCCAGTGCTCAGCAGTGGACTTTTATGAACTGTAATGTATGGATGGATTGTTTTATTATATCTAGTCTGCGATTTTTTTTAATTAAAAATTGAAAGTTGTAAAAAGTACACAATCTGCTTGCTGTACCCAAACTGATAAGAAGTATTCGTCTGTTTTTTAAAACACATATGTATGTAATATATATAGTAGGTATGCGATGGGATAAAAAAGTCATTGATAATTTTCAAACTTTTTATTTTATACTTAGAATTTTTGTTTGGCAAAAGGAAGTATAACATGCTTCATTATTCTCATACAATCTTACACGTCCATTGTCTACGTATATATAATACTTTTTGGTTCTTACGTATTATTTATGTTTTAACAAAAACCACACAGTTTACAAACTATAACATTTACATTTATATAGACCAAACGAGGTGTACCTACTCAGGAAGTACATGTAATGTTTATGTAGTTTAGCACCAAAAATCAAGAGATATGATCATATTTTGGAATACAATTATCGTGTCATAAATACTTTTATAAGTTATATTTTTAATAGTTTCAACGGTAATGACATATTTTGTCCTTAATTGAACTATTAAGTTCATATTTGTTTTTTATTTATTTAATTGAAACTTTATACATTATTATCTATTATATACAGTTATTGCACAATTATTACTATGGAATGTTGAAATTTTATGTACAATATCACCTAATTTTCTACATAGCAATTTATATCAAATTATATGTACAGGCTTAAATAGCAACAAAGTATAGTGACAATATTTTAATATTTTTCTATCGTATTCATTAATAATTAAGAACGTTTTGTAAGTCTCCAATGTGAACAATATTCATTGAATGAGAATTAAAGGTACTGTCATAATATTATACAGATAAATTATTACTTATCATAGAAATGTCAATACTTTTTGGTTACTCTAAAACATCACAAATGCACTGGGGTTTGCACTGTCAATAAGCACTGGTTTTCTTAATCAGGTCACGTTGAATTCACAAGTTGGACACTTCTACCGTTCTGACGTCGTGAATTAACGTGAGCTTCAGTGTGAATATTCCTCTTAGTTCTCGAAAAGAAAGCAGCATTGCAACCGCTCACTGAACATCGGTGTAAAGACTGGACGTGGACGTTTTCACAGTGAAGTTTTAAACCCATTAAGTCTTTGAAGAACTCCCGACAAGCCCTACATGGATATAATCCGTCTTTATTGGGTCGAGGCGCTTCATCTTCTATGCAGTAGTTTAATTTTCGAAACATAGGTGTTGAGTAATTTTGACGTTCACAACCAAAGGGACTTAAGTTAGGGGGGAGGAAGCCAAATGGTATGGCGGGGAAATTCGGCAGCATGCCAAATGGTGTGAACAGAAAAGGTTGTTGACCAAACATATCACGACTGTTTAAATACGCCTCCGGCAGTTGTAGAGGTGGATAAGGTACTCCAAAGGGCATGTGTGGACTTAAATGATTTTTTGGCTTCTCAGATTCTTTCGCTTGATAATATTTGTGCGACTCTATGTATGGTACGACTCGTTCATCTTCATTGAATTTCGATATTAATTCCATTTGTTCGCGAGTCTTTTCTAATGTTTTCAGCGGAAACTCATCAGATATTTTCCCGCATATTGAAAATATCTTTCTGTGCAAGTTAATATTGCAACTATGTCGGTCTCTGCTAGGTTTTGTCGAAAAGGAAGCTCTGCAGCCTTCGTTACTACATTTATACATTACTTTTAAATGCGAGTTTTGGTAATGGGTCTTCAAAATGAATTTATTTTGAAATAGTTTATCACAAACTGTACATTTTAGTGGATTTTCTTGATCAGTTGGAACGTCGGCAGTAACTACAAAGAAACCATTATCAAAGTGACCGTAAATTTGGCAATGGCTATCATCTGTTACGTAATCATAACTTGATACTGATGAAGAGGGAGATCGATCCGAATATTCCATAGTATCATGCACTGATAAATTGTAGGGGGCTAATGGATTATGATTTTCAATCTTTTTTGCTACGTTTGGAAAATTTCCTTTCGATAAACTCTCCAATCTTTTCAAAGCGTTTTCGGAAGAAAAGTGTTCGTTATTTAGTTGTGACTTTTCTACAGTTTTATATGAATCATCTTTTTCCTTCGGTTCTTCTTTAATACGTAAATCTTGTGCATTGTATTCTATTTCTTGAGGTTCTTCCTTAATTGAAGGGGTTTCTTGCTTTATTGTTGTTGGCTCTACTTTTTCATTTAGAAGTGTGCAGTTATCACCGATGTCTTTTCCTTCACATTTGACCCTTTTGGGATCAATTAAATTCTCCTCTTTAATACCATTTTCTCTGTTAACTTCAATCTTTTCTTGGCTTTCAATATTTTGGTTACTATGCAAACGAATAGGGTTTAAACTTTTTCGTTTTCTTTTCATTACTTCCGGACTGCTTACGCCATCTTTTTCTTTATTATCATTATTATCACTAACACTTCTCTGATCAAAATCATTTTCGGAATCATCTAAAGAGCCTATTGACTTATTTAAATTAGAATAATAATCACTATCCATATGATAATTTTCATCATCATCTTCGTCTCCTGCTACGACAACAATACCGTCATCTTCATCGGATTCACCATGAACGTCCTGTTCTTTATTATTTTCCGAATTAGACTCTCGGCGCAAATGTGAATGGTCGAAATGAGGTGGGAAATTAATATTATTTTTATAATCTAAAGGTACATTATTAGGAAAAGGCCGCATACTTTGTGTTGGATTTATAATTGGGTAGGATCCAAATGCATGTATTGGGTTGATTACAGGCGGTATATTTAAGCCCGATCCATGTTGTGATATGAGAACAGAATGAGCTTGAGCGCTTCTACCATCGTGAGGAGATATTTTTCGTCGCAAATGTGGTGAATGCAATTTCGGATTGGGGTTAGCACTGTGCCTATTTCTTGATCTCCTTGAGCTGAACATCATACTGCAACCTTCGACAGTGCATTTATGCATTTCTCTTAAATGTACAGCTGAGAAATGAATTTTAAGCGCTCCTTTATCACAAAAGGTTTTGAGGCACACATTGCATTGTACTCTTTTCTTACCAGTAGCAGGATTAATAAAATGCGTACCTAAGTTTAAAGGCATTTGAGAAGCACCCCAATGTCTTTTCGGTGGGCTTAAGCATTTACCTATCATTAAATCTCTAGACTTATGTGTTGCTTCTACGTAAGCATCTTTGCTTAAATTTAAAACATTTTCTTCATCCATTCTGTCATCAACTCTGCCATTTCCGACGCCGTTGCTTATTTTAGTTTCAGATTCGACAACTTTTGACGACATTTGAGGCAAAAGCGCTTGTAAAGACGCTAATCCCATAGGATTTTGACTCAAAGCAGCAACCATTGCTGCGGGGTGCGAAAATGTGGATGGCATAGACATAGGCGGAATAGGCAAATTAGGAGGCAATTGAAAATTGAAGAGTTGGCTTCTCATTAATTCAATTGCTGCTTTTTCGGCACTATTTATATCGTAATTACTTTTTAATAATTCTACTTTAGTGTTATTTTCAGGCACCTTTTGCTTACGAAAGTCAAATGGTTGCATATTTTGCAAGTGGTTCAATGGGGATGAGTTTATTGGACTAGTGGTGGAGAGAGGACTGGATGAGGTAGATAACCGGACACTGTGGTTTGGTGAGATTTCCGCAGACGATGTCCTTGGAGGTGACTGTTTGTGAATTGGTGAAAGTTTATTATCATTGGGTGTGATTCCATCTTTCCTTGCTTCTAAGTTGTCTTCCTCTGAATAGGTATTCTTAATATTTCTTTCTTGAATATGTTTTAAATATTCAAAATGCTGTCTCGCTTCCATCATGTGCTCGAAGTATTTTAAGGACTCTTCATTACGAGTGTCGGTACTCGATCTCTCCATCAGTTTTCTAAATTCCTCTTCCACTTTCAACTGCTCGAACACTTGCTGTTCAGTACATTTGTCTTGGTTCTTATTTTCCTGTTCATATTCCTGGTTAGCAGATGGTGGTGATGGAAGTCCGTTCTTTTTGTAAATAGGAAGTAGAGAAGTTTTGTGGAGCGCCCTCGCTTCTTGAAGTTTGAGAATTTGTTGCAAAGCCATGTTGTGTTCTGGACCATGCCCGTTCCATCTTTCATTGCTGGTTGACTGTGATTCCTGTAACAATAAACATATAATGCTATTACGAAAATGAATTAAAAACAATGTAACATGTTTGTGTCGTTAAAACTGTTATTAAGGATAACAGTCACTCATCATCGCAGTTCAATTTCAATTTCTTAATAATATTCTCATAATCTATGATAGTGCATCCATGTCAGTGGTTTAATCTAACACTTATAAAATATTAATAATCTGCATAATTTATTGTAGCTAGTTTGTGTATAGGAACTCGTTTAGCAAGGTTTACAGTAATGTTATTGATAATAACCATTTACAACAAAATACATAATTAAAGATGGGTTCCATTTATTAAATTACTAATGCTACCTAATCTTAGCTTAGATTATCGAGTCCAGAGCGAGCTTAAAAATTACTTAACTTAAATGAGTCTTTATCGTAACAATCGGTCCAACATAAAACCACACCTTGCATTTTCAAAAGCTAATATCAAATTAATTCTCAGAACGGAGAGCAATTGGGTAAAATTGTGTAAAATGACGGTTTCAAGTCGACTCTGGAATAGAAAAGTGGTTTGTGTCGCGTGTTTGAAACGATTTAATCCGAAAACTAAATTACTATTCATTTGGTAAGTATTCAGGGCCGGCTCACGTTGTCAAAGTTAAATTAACTTAAGTTTGGACAAATTAACCTGCACTTGTATACAGCGATGATTGACAATAAATTACGTTTAAAAATCGTTTTATGATTTTATACGGTAAATTATTTGATTTTAGGTGTGGGAAACTTAATATTATTTTTAGCCTTTAGCCTTTTAGATAATCTGCGTTATGTTTACAAATAAATAAGTATGTGTGTAATTCATCTTAATTTTTTTTGAAATTCATTCGTCAATTTTATATTTTATTTTTATAAGGTTTAAAGTTTTGGATCCTCAGTTAGAATTCTAGACTGCAGTTAGAATATTTATGAAATAGACGTGCTTCTTATTTGTCTTTTTATTTTTCTGCCGACTTCTAAAAAGGAGACGGTACTCAATTAGACGCGTATGTTTTTTTTATGTGTGTTACCTCATAACTTTTTACTGGGTGAACCGATTTCGATGATTCTTTTTTTATATGAAAGCTGATCCTACTTCTCGTCATATGAAGTTCATCAAGGTTAGACCAATAGTTTTTGAGTTATTTGAATGGTTCTTAATAACTTATATTGAAGTCAGCTGTACAAAATTTTAAGTTATTAATTTTAGATTAATTAATTACATGAGGCGATTTTGGCGATTTTTCTACACCCTCACTCCCCCTGGTGAGATGTCGTGAGATATGGTTCGACCCCATCGGCTTTCTCATATCTCACGTGAGATTTTTCAAAATGCGTATTTTTAGTTTAAATACGTTAAGCTGTGCTTGATTGCGTTGGATTTATTAAAACAATTGCTTAATAATTTTTATGTAATTTTTGGAGTTGGCATAGTCGCCATAAACATGATTGTATACCTAGTATTTAGCCTTATTTTATTTAACCCAATTGTCTTGAAATTTTATGCTATTTATTGCGCAAAAAAATATTACGAGACCCTCCCTCTCCCCCACGTGAGATTGGGTGAGATTCGGCTCATTCCCCTCCCCCTCAAACACCTCACGTAATTAATGGACGCCCCCTTACTGTAGACAATATTTTTAGTAATAATATAGGATGATAAAGACGAGTGCATTTTACTACGATTGCATGTTTAAGTACCTAGGTACTTGCGGCACATTCACTTAAAGATTATGTACTTCTAGGAATAATTATTTGTAACTGTATTCTCCTAAGTCTAGGGGGACATTAAACGAGACTTTACATTTTAATATACCTATATAATATTATATTTTAGTTTTATTTTGTATTAATTTCAAGATTCTGCTATAAATATTTAAATTTGTCAAAATCGCGATAACATTACAAATTTATAATAATGACAAATAAACAAAAGTTTTGGAGATGGTATCATCGACCCTTAACTTTTCGTTAACCTTCCGAGCAGTCCGCGTCAAAACAGACTTAAATGTCGCCTTTTAAAATCGTTTGTCACTCGATTACGGCGTGTAACTTGAATAAACGGCGGGGTTGCCATATCATTATCCGTTTCTGGGGAAAATTAAATTGTCGTTTGCCCTCGTCGGCGCGTCGGGGGCAATTTTTTACAAACCTTACAATTAGAATGAAAAAGATTCTTTCTCTAATTCTTTAAAATGGATAAACACAGGATAATAAAGTGACGTTTAAGTAAAATATAGAGTACGTCTGGAATGACGAAATTATAGTTCTTGTGGTAATTTTAGATTTTGAAACGTAGAAAATTAGAATGTTAATAATTTGGTTTTAAACTAGGTATTTATATTGTTGAGAGTTTATGATGATACTCAGTTTTAGCTTGGTAATATTATGATTATGTTATTTTAAGTGTGTAGTGTAGTTCACTCAGCGCGCTATTAAAAGGGTTATGTACTAGGTATTAACGTTAAATAAAATTCGTAACGGGAATATTAGCAGCAGGTCAAGCTTAATTGACCAAACGCAACGGATCAGAAAAAATAGTCGGATCTAGCTCGAAAAACTAACAGCCGATGAGGTAGAGAGGTTCTCTGAAGCCATATATTACTATTAACATTACTAATAACAAACGCATTGTTGGGCAACCCACAACGAAGTACTTACGACCTTTTTAGATTGATCATCTCGGCGCAATCAATGCATTAGGCACTGCAATTATCGCGAGCCCAAACGTATCCCTCTATAACGGGTACATTTGTGATAATTGTTACTTAATAATTGTAGCTGCCACAAATGAAGAAATTCCCTGTATGTTACTTAAAGTCGCTACTCCATGTTGTAAACTCCGAGGATAGGACCTTCGCTCTTAAATTGCTGAGCGATTAGGCTAGCAATGAAGAACGACGTTCTGGTTCCGAAAGTCAATATTGGCGACACAGAAGTAAAAATTGAACTGTGAAAAAAAAAACACACCGTTTTCAAAAAAATATTATTACGTAATGGCATGAAGTTGATGCTAAGACATAAAATCGATAGATATAGGTACCTACATATCGAAGAATTACGAGTAAAGATTTGAAGATTTTGAAAAAACTTTTGAAATTAATAATTTAAATTATTTATTTTCTTTATGTTTTTGATGTCAGCTTTATTTTTTTTATTTAGTTAGTATTTTACCCTTTATAGTTTAAGGAATATCAAAAGTGGAAAATTTTTCTTAAAAATTGTATGGTGCCACCCCTGAAGTCATCATCATCATCATTACAGCCCTTCACAAGTCCACTGCTGAACATAGGCCTCCCCCAAAGAATGCCACAAAACACGGTCCTGAGCCACCTGCATCCATCGACTTCCTGCATGTCTTACCAGGTCGTCACTCCATCTTGTGGGGGGACGCCCTACACTTCGCCTACCGGTACGAGGCTGCCACTCGAGAACCTTTCTTCCCCATCGGTTGTCGGTTCTTCGAGCTATATGGCCGGCCCACTGCCACTTCAGCTTACTAATCCGTTGGGCTATGTCGGTCACTCTGGTTCTACTGCGGATATCCTCATTCCTAAGTTTATCACGCAGAGAAACTCCGAGCATAGCCCTCTCCATAGCTCGCTGAGCGACCTTGAGCTTCCTCATACGGCCAGCAGTGAAGGACCACGTCTCAGTTCCGTAAGTCATCACTGGCAACACGCACTGGTTGTACAATTTCGTTTTAAGGTTTTGAGGTATGTCTGACGAGAAGATGTGTCGTAGCTTCCCGAACGCTGCCCAGCCGAGTTGAATCCGTCGATTGACCTCTCGGTCGAAGTTGGACTTACCCAGTCGGACTATTTGTCCCAGGTAAACATACTCGTCAACAACTTCGAGCTTAATGCTCCCAACAACTACCGGCATAGGTGTGACATGGACATTAAACATGATCTTTGTTTTGTCCATGTTCATCTTAAGACCTATCCGTTGGGAAACACTATTGAGGTCATTGAGCATAGTGCTTAGGTCCTCCAGCGATTCTGCCATAAGGACTATATCGTCGGCAAATCGAAGGTGAGTGATGTACTCGCCATTGATGTTGATACCGTATCCTTTCCAGTCCAGAAGCTTGAAAACGTCTTCCAATGCAGCGGTGAAGAGTTTCGGGGATATGACGTCACCCTGTCTTACACCTCTCTGCAATTGGATAGGTTTCGTACTCTGGTTCTGTACTCGGATAGCCATTGTAGCCCTACTGTACAAGCACTTCAACACTTCGATATACCGACAGTCAACTTGGCACCGCTGAAGGGACTGCAGCACCGCCCAAATTTCGACGGAATCAAAGGCTTTCTCATAGTCCACATACGCCAGACATAGTGGCAAATTGTACTCTTCAGACTTCTGTACAACTTGCCGAAGGGTATGTATGTGGTCTATGGTGCTAAAGCCTTTTCGGAAACCGGCTTGTTCGGGAGGCTGGAAGTCGTCAAGTCTGCGCGCGAGACGATTCGTAATGACTCTCGAAAACAGCACGTAGACGCGGCTCAGAAGGGAAATCGGTCTGTAGTTCTTCAAGAGAGCGTTGTCACCTTTCTTGAAGAACAAGACCACCGCACTTCTGCTCCACGTCTCCGGTGTAATGCCACCATGGAGGACGGAATTAAAGAGCTTCTGAAGGACTTCAAGTACCGGTCTTCCACCCGCTTTCAGAAGCTCCGCTGTAATTCCATCCTCGCCTGGGGCCTTACCGTTTTTAAGGTGCTGGAGAGCCATCCTAATCTCGCTCAGACTGACATCCGGGATATCTTCGGAATAGTGTCGGATGAGACTCGCTCTTGGATCGTTACTCACACTTGCGTGTGGCTCCAACGATGATGTGTACAGCTGCCCATAGAACCTCTCAATCTCACTCAAAATCTCAGGTGTCCCGGAAACGATGCTGCCACACTCTGTCTTCAGCTTTGACAGTTGGCTCTTTCTGGCAGACAGATCTCTGGCAAAGACTTTGGAGCCTTGGTTCCGCTCGATCGCTT